TACCCAACATCTTTTGAATATATAAAAATGCTTACAATCGACCTATTTAATTTCCTAATTTACAAATTCAGTAATATATTATCAAGAGATATGAATCTTTGAATAATACAAACGGCATTGCTATAAATACGAGGGTTTTTTTTAAACTTTGGTATTTGTATGGCAATCGATTGAAAAATAATAGATGCGACGATGGTAATGAAAAGAAAGATACAATGTTATAATATGAATTGATTCGAGCTAGGGTAGTTTGAAAGAGAGAGAGAGAGAAAAAAAAGAAAATATAAGAGAGGTAGTAAAAGTAAAAGAAGAGTACCGACGACGACGATGATGACGGCCATGAGGTCAGAGGAAAGAGGGACGAGCGTGCTTATCGTGCATCGTCTCGATCCACCTCGAAGAACTCTCCTTCTCACCTAACTCGAATAGTGGTGTGCGGTTCTTCCTAGGGGTACCAACCAACACATCTCACTTCTTCATTCCATCTCCCACTTTTCTCCACTTACCCTCTCTTTCATCTGGTACACCCCATCTCTCTACATCCCTCAGCCACCACAAGTACCTGAGGAGCAGGCCAACGTCAGCAAAAAAAAGTACGACGGCACGTGTCACTGTGTTTAATGCACACAACCAACCACTCACTCTCTCTCTCTCTATCGCGTTCGTTGGATTCTGTCAGTCGGCGATTTTGCCAATCCAATTTGGCCGATGACACGAAACAGGAAATCGATCATCCTTTTAACAAAGCTGTCGAACGAAAGGTCGAATCCTGCCGTCTCTATTTTTTCCTTTTCCTCCTTTTTATTATTTTCTTTCTATAAAGGAAGAAGAAGATTTTTTAGATTATTTAAAAAAGAGAAAAAGAATGAAACAGCATACGCGCGTTGTCTTTCGTAAATCCTTGTAAATAAATCCAATGTGTTTTCCCAAGAAAATAGGTTCAGATTCTATTTGTCTAAAAAACAATCAATCACGTAACCCAATCAAGTATTGCTCGAAGACCTGAAGATTAACAGATCGGTTACCTCAAGCTCGGATTTGACAAATGTGTTGAAGAAAAATCATCGTACGTCAGTCATGCCGTTCAGAAATATTCCTATTGATTATTTAGTTTAAAGATCCTTACCGATTCGAATCCTATCTGCTCGTTTTCCTGGCTTCTGCCTTTTTAGGGTGACGTCATCAAGTATTTGACGTAAATGTCACCTAGGCTTGTAAGTGATTGCTTGAAGAGAGAGAGAGAGAGAGAGAGAAGAGAGACCCTGCATACTCTGGCTGCTGGGGGTTAGTCGAGGTAAGTTCGATTTTTGTTCAATCTTCCTATCTTGTTCTTTCTAGAATTTCTCAGGGCTAACGAGGGAAAAGAAGGGGCTAGGAGATATAGAAACGAAGACAGGATATTTCGATTAGATAACGCGATAATCTAGCGAAGATAATCTTTATTAAATGGTGGGGGTTTGATGCAGCACAATATCCGAACAATTCGTTCTACGATTTCGATTAAAAAATTTCACGACAAACAAATTCATATTTCTCGAATTTTGTATTTTGTTATTTAATCGTATCGATTCGTTTAACACGACGATAGGATTATAATATATCGAATATTGTTCGTATAACCGTGTATTATTATTATTATTATTATTATATATTTGCATAATTTTTTTAGAAGTTCGTTTGAAATTGATTATATACATATATGTAGTAGAAGAAATTTGGCAGGGTTTAGAATGTCTCTTGACACGCAAAGATCGCAGTCCTAAGGTTTAAGATGAACAAAATGGAAATAAAATTTGACAACGGTTGCGAAAGAATTGCCAAAATTTTTGTCGATGAGAAGTAACACAAGGTCTGATGATATGAAAAAAAAAAAAATTAAAATATATGTGAAATAATAAATACCCGTATAATGATGGAAACACGTCACGTGTTTAGTCCTATTATTTTATTTATATCTTTCGTGTTATTTCTTTTCTCCCCCGTTTCTTTCTTCTAACGATGACGTAGTTAACCATCGCTCGTTGGCAATAACGGAATGTGAGGAAAAATAGATTCTTGAAGGAGCAACTTGAGTACGCTTCCGGCGTTCTCGCGAATTCCCCCAGTGGTCTTGCAGGCCCAATGACCTGATTGTCGAGCTCAAAAGAAGAAGAAGAAGAAGCAGCAGCAGCAGCAGCAGCAGCAGCAGAAGAAGAAGAAGAAGAAGAAGAAGAAGAAGAAGAAGGTGCTCTCGATGGTTCGTTACCACGAAATCGATGTTACGATGATGACGTTAGCTACGCTTCCAGAAATAATAAAGTACGTGCTACTAATAAAGTACGTACTTGCTTCGAAACGAAAATATCTCTCTCTGTCTCTGTCTCTCTTTCTCTCTTGCTTTCACCGAAAGGTGCATTAAACGAATAAAATAAAATAAAAATCCTTGATACGCGCTTTACTATTAAAGATACACGTATCTCATTCTCGAAACACATTCGAGTATCAAATTATCATTTTTCTTACGAAAGAGAATTATTTTCTCTCTCTCTCTCTCTCTCTCTTTCCTATCTTAATTTATTTCTAACGGGTCGTAATTATAAATTTAATCCTTTCGTTAGGGGATGCTTTTTTTAGCGCACGTATCGTTCCACATAAAAATTCTCTCTTACGTAGGTATGGTTACATGATATATATATAACCTTTATATGTGGTCATTGAAAACGAAAGGATTAATATATACTTTAATTAATAATAAGAGAAAAAAAGTGTAACATATACTTTTATTCGTTCGTTTTAATTGAAATATTTGAACATTGGAAGAAATGTTCAAAATGCCTTCCATACATAAATGAAAAGAGACATTTGCAACTATAGTTCTGAACATGTATATATATATATATATATATATATATATATATACATATTCATTTTTTGTATATATTGTGTATATGCATATAAACATAGCTTCTCGAACGGTGGCCACTCCACGATACGAACGGCGCATAGCTTTTCCTGTTCGCGGCACAATTTTCGAGGGTCGATATATCGAACGCTGAGAGCAAGAGAAAGAAAAAAAAGAGTTTGGAAGTGAGAGAGAAAGAGAGAGAGAGAGAGACGACGTTGTCTTCAAATAGCGCGGTAGTTAGCGCCTCCCTGAAGAAGGGTTTGCGAAAAGAGGGTTGGATAAGAGGAGAAAGAGGAAGACCGTCTTCTTCCTCTACCCTCTTCCTCATCGACTATGCTTTTCCCTTTTATCTCTTTCTGATAGACTACTACCACCACCTTTCCTTTTCCAACCACCTCCTTATTCTTCTCATCCTCCTCCCTACTTTCTATACTTCTGTTCTTCTTCTTCTACGTCCCTTCCATTCTTCTAGCACGTTTTCCTCCGAATCTCTTCGTATTCACTGACTACTCTCTCTAATCGATGCTGTTTAACCGCTGAACGATTTTAAACATATCACCCTTGAGGAACACGATATGTTCACCTCGCCAAGGGAAAATAAACAACTATTGGCGCATTGCGAAACATTTTTTATTCGTTTATTTATTTCGTAGCTAAATTTCTTATAAAATATAAGCAATTATATATATATATATATATAAGTCTCAAAGGGAATTTTAGAAGGTTATTAAATCTTATGAACAATTTATTTTGAACTAGTTGTTCAACTAAGATTATTACTATTAAATAAGATTTAATAACCGTCTAAAATTCCCTTTGAGACTTATATTAATAACATATTTTTGGACAAGAATATTGATAATTAAAATAAGCAATTATTTTTCAAAAGTAATCATATTATTAATTTACAAGGTTTACGATACTTTTTTTTATGTTTAATAAATATTGTATATATATATATTTATTGTATTTAATTATTCTTATAAGTTGTTATATTTTGAATTTTGTTAAATTACAATTAATTTCAATCGATCATTAGATTAATCTTCGTTAATTTTAAGAAAGGTCAAGAAATAGTTTTATTTAGATAGTATATACATGCACAATCCAAGAAAACTGATTTATATAAATATATGTATGTATGTATATATGTGAAATACTTATCATAGGATTATACGCCAAAGGTGATGCAATTAGGCAGATCTGTCCTCATTAATTTGACGATCGTTAATTTGTAATGTTTTAGTGTATTAGACTGGCATCAAATGCGTACTTCCTTTTCTACGTAAAATAAGAAAATATAGATATAGAAGATATTATTATTGTCAGCTTTATGTGTCTCATTAAACGAATAATAATCACTATGATTAAGAGACAATTGGTTCGGTAAAATTATCCAATTATGTATCTTTATATTTCGTTCATATTTATATTAATTATCCTGATAACTTAATATTTGTGAAAATAAATAGAAAATTATTAATTACTATAAGAACTTGTGAAAGTAATTTGATAAAAAGAATAATTGCGTCCTAGATTAATACCTGTATGAAAGTAAAATAATAATAATAATAATGATTGCCTACTTATAATATAAATATAAAAATGAAGAAAAAGATATTCTTAATAAGATATAAGTATAATAAAAAAAAATTAGTCAATAATCAAAAGATAAAATGTTGAAAATAGGATTTCATCTCCTTATGAAAGAGATCGAAAGAAATAAAATAAAATAAAAGATGTTACGAAAAGGGGGTTAAAGAGAAAAGGGGAAAATGATTGTAACGATTATATCAGGACGATCTGTTGAGGAGAGGGTGTACACGATTGCGACATAAAGCAAGGATATACTACTGCATTGGGACAGAATCGTGTCATCGACGTCGTCATCATCGTTGTCGTCGTCGTCGTCGTCGTGGTGTTGAGATTGTTGAGGTTGTCATGGGCCATGGGCACAGGTACTCTGAGGGATTACCACCACTTCTTTCGTCTCACAATCCTCCGTGGTACTCTCCTCGACCCTTTCCAAACGTGTTTCCGTGTACGTCACGAGCGAGAGTTACTACCCCCACCTTTTCTCAACTGGTCCTCACTTTGCAACGTAGAAAAGAAGGAGTGAGAAACGATGCAGAGGGGTGCAACTGGTCCAACACAACCACCACCACCACAATCACAACCACCACTATCTCTACTACCAACACCAACACTAAAGCTTTCTACCTACCACCTCCACATCTCGCTAGATTCACGAAAATGGAAGATTTTGCAGGCTCCGCAAAGTCGTTCGAAGAAGTCAGTCGTCGGTTGCACGTTCTCGCGAATCAGAGAATACCCATCGAAAAGTGGTTGCTGCCACTAACCGGACCTAGTTCCGGACTGGCACAAATTCACATCTCTTTCTCTCTCTCTCTCCTTCTCATTGTTCTTTGTCTCTAATCTTTGTTTTTATCTTCTTGGTCTTCTTTTTTTCTTCCTACTTTCCGAACTCTTTCTTTCTTTATTTATTTTTATTTCTTTTTTGTCTTCATTCCAAATATCCGCATCCCGTTTGACGAATCCTACAGACGCAAGAAGAAAAAAATAAAGAGCGTTTTGAAAAATCCGTTAGAAAGGATGCATTGAAGGATATTGAAAAATAATGTCGACAGAAGAAGCACAGGGAAAAGGCATGACATCCGCGATCCTCTCCACAATTCTTCTTCTTCTTATTATTATTTTGCTACTGGATCGCACCGCAGATGCACAGTAAGATCGCCGTTTTTTGGGACTTTTTCATCATCGATCTCATGAAACTCTTAACACGGGATGCATTACCGATCGCGAATAAATAAATCTAATAGTACATGAAACTGTGGTGTATCAATTACGATTCTATCGATCGGAATAATGATCGATTAGAATTATCTTCTATTGTTTACAGTGACTAACGGATATAATTATTTAAATAAGGTTTTATTTTTTGTTGCACAAACGATTAATTTGTTTAATATATTTCTTTCGCGATATTAAATCAGTTCGATCGAGATCAGCTGTGTGGTGTGCTAAATATTGTCAAGATGGAGTGCTTACGGGAGACTTTAACGACCAACCACTTCGCGTTCCAATGCTCATCTCCACAAGACAAAAGTTTCAGCAGTGTTGTTTATTGTTTTTCTTTTATTTTATTTTGAGATATAACTTTTTGAAAAATTCGATCGTTATCACGCATCTGTTTTTTCTATTTTATCTTTTGTTTTCCTTCTACCAAATCCATTAAAAATTGTAACACGTTTTATTATTTCATCAAAAGGACTCTAATATTAATTGTAAGAAAATCGTGTCGAAACAAAGGAAACGATATTATATTTCAGGAGAAGCTTAGAATTCTTCGATCTTCTTCCGGAGGATCCAAAACTTTACGATAAAATGAGACCCCCGAAAAAAGATGGACAAGCAACTGTTGTTTATTTTCACGTCACCGTAATGGGTCTAGATTCGATCGATGAAAATTCTATGGTAAGTCAAATATTTATCTGTGTTTTCTATTATTTGTCGGAAAAATTAATGTCTTTTTTTTTTTTAAACATAATTGACAAATGTCCATTGAAAAATACGCTTAATATCTACTACGAAGTACGAGAGAAAGATATAAAACAATTTACAGACTTACGCTGCCGATATATTTTTTGCTCAAACGTGGAAGGACAACAGACTGAGACTACCAGAAAATATGACTTCGGAATATAGGTATACGATCAATTAGAAAATAATTGTTTAGAAATTCTTATATATAAAAGAATAGATAATCGTGAACATTATTTATTATTTTAAACAAAATTAAAGATTATTAGAGGTCGATTGGTTGAAGAACATGTGGCGACCCGATTCCTTTTTCAAGAATGCCAAATCGGTAACCTTTCAGACGATGACAATACCAAATCATTATCTATGGCTGTATAAAGATAAAACGATCCTATATATGGTGAAGTACGTATACCCAAAGTTATAACATTTTTGACATAGTTTTAACTAAATCATTTATAAGAACTATAAAACTCGTTAAGTTAAACGATCGTGCTACAATACTTGCAGATTGACATTAAAACTCTCTTGCGCTATGAACTTCTTGATTTATCCGCACGACACGCAGGAGTGTAAATTGCAAATGGAGAGCCGTGAGTAATAATCGATATATGTAGAAATTTAATCTACGAAATTGCATTTAATATTCGTTCAAATAAATTTACTAATTGTAAGAGATAAATAAGAGAGAGAGAGAGAGAGAAATTTTGCATGAATAGTTTGCGAAAAAAATATCTACGTTGGTCGAATAAAAACAAAAAGTTTCACGGAAAGATGATACGTAATAAAAGAAAAAAATTGATAAAAAGAGATCGTCCGCGTCATATTTAGCCGATAGGGTGAATGATTAAGTTTTCACAAGGACAAAACAACTCGGTCAACAGTGTCTCACACGACGGATGAAATGATCTTTCAATGGGATCCCGACGTACCACTTGTCGTCGATGAGAACATAGAATTGCCCCAATTACAGCTTGTGAAGAACTACACGGCTGACTGCACGCAAGTCTATTCCACTGGTAAGTGATTTGAATAAGCTTATTTGATTCGCATTTTTCAAAGCGAAGTATCGTGTTGCGCGTATTCGTTTTTCTACACACAATTAAACATCGAGGATAAATTAGATTCTATTCAATGGAATCATTTGATACGAAGAATTGATAAGAATTCATGCATAAAAATTGGAACGGGATTATACCACTGTTTCCAACGCAAAACTTGATTTAACGAGAATGAAAGTAATACGAGTTGACATTTGTTACTAAATTGTAAGATACAAATTCTAAAAGTGTCACGAGTTAGATTTTTTTAATCATCACACGAGGTGAAATTGGAAAAATATATTTTTTATTTATACACCTATTTGTTTTTATCTAGAGTTATGTTGGTCTAATTTGTTTTGTCATCTGATTATTATTATTATTATTATTATATTAATATATCGAAGATTCGAATGGTAAACTATTTTTGGAAAAATTTTAATACAAATGAATTTCATAAATTCGAAAAGTAGGAGTATCTAGTAATAGTGACACTCCAACTAACCTCGACCTTTTTGAAACTATATTTGGAAGGATAGCTCCATCCTTTAGATGGCAACTTAATTATCATTGATTTTCTAGATATATTGCCAGCATACCCAATCCTATATCATATATTTTACATATACATCTATACATGTATAATAAATATACATAGGACATACAAGCATATATCTTTACATACGAATAATTACAAGATATAAATAAAGATACCTTTTGTTTTCAGGTAACTTCACCTGCTTGGAAGTGGTATTCGTATTGAAACGGCGACTCGGTTATTATCTTTTTCATACATATGTTCCCACATGTTTAATCGTAATTATGTCGGTAAGCTACGATCATTTAAAAAAAAAAAAAAAAAAATATTAATATTTTATATGTGGACAACAACATCGCTGTGCATTTTTTGATATTGTAACAAAATACAATTTCAAATTTTCTATAACTTTTATTTGTGTCAAGTGTGTACTTTGCTTAATCTGACAATTAGGCAAAATAATCCGCATATAAGGTGTTAAAAAGTAAAGAAGAATTAAGAATGATAACATAATTACAAAAAGTAGGATGAGATAAAGAAAGAGAGAGAGAGAGAGAGAGAGGAGGGGAGAGACAGAGAATGTATTAATTTATTTCACAGTGGGTCTCATTTTGGATAAAACCAGAAGCTGCACCAGCCAGAGTGACCTTAGGAGTGACATCCCTGCTGACCTTATCGACTCAACATGCGAAAAGTCAAGCATCTTTACCACCGGTCTCTTATTTGAAAGCCGTCGATGCCTTTATGTCGGTCTGCACTATATTCGTGTTCATGGCACTGATGGAATATTGCTTAGTGAACATCGTTCTCGGTGATTCCGATGCGCCGGCAGCGAAACCACCGCCACCACCGGCACCGCCATCTTCTAGCACCACAGAGGCCGCTAAAATCGATAGAATCTTCGACATTGCGACTAAGGTAACGCCTTGGTGAAGATTGTTTTATCCAAAGACGACAACTTCTGTGCCTCGGAGAAATTATTTATTAACTCTTTGCGGTATAATCATTATATTTTTAGTATTATATATTTTTTACTTTTTTTTTTGTTTTTTTTTTTTTAATTATTAGAATTTACGAATAAATCCAATGATGGATTTTTACATTAACATAAGCCTTACTTTCGTGATGATTCTTATTCGCAAACAAATGTATTGATAAAAACGTCGAATAATTAATTTTTGTAAGTGTTACGAATAGTAAGACCGCAAAGGGTTAACACGTTAATTGTTAATTAACTTAATACACATTCCACAAATTTTCGTATTAATATTTTTGAGAAAAGAATCTTATTCTTTTTAAAACTATACTCTTTACTTTTGTGTGTCAATTAAACGAATGCGTTATTTGTCAATAAAATATTGATTAAGAGTATTTGTAAAAATCTAAATATATGTGGCAAATTATTTGCTTTTATTTTTCTTCATAAATTGTTTGTACGTTTTGTAAGTTTTTTTTTTTTTTAACATTGGAACGCAATATTCTTTGCGAAAGAACTCCGAGGCACAGGAGAGACGTCTTCTTGGCGGCGGTTCAAGTTGTGATCGTTGTCACGCAGGAAAACGCCATGTTGTTGTCCGGCCGATCGCAGAATTCGACTTCAGGTCCACCACCGGGACCAACGCCGGCTCAAAAGGCAAGAATGAGGGCCTTGAACATCGATCGGGTCTCACGAGTCTTCTTTCCTTTTCTTTTTGCTGTATTAAATGTCACTTATTGGATAATGTTCGCTGAATATATTTAAACATTATTTTTATTTTTTCTTTCTTTTATTCGAATAAATTGTCGACTATTTGTGCGATTTAAGAGAAAGAAAAAGATAGAAATATATTAGAATGAAAAACGCGCGTTTAATTGTAATACGAAAAAAAATGAGAAAGATACAAAATTTCTTTGGATGCATGTTAAAGAAAGAAAGAGGTAGAGAGAGAGAGAGAGAGAGAGAGAGAGAGAGAGAGAGAGAGGGAAGGAGAGAAGGAGAGATACACATTGGTTATTAAAAAAGAAAAAATAGCGAACGATAAAAACAAAGATACTAAGAAATTAAACCAAACAAATAAAAAAATGTAACTTATTTCTAACTCGAAAAACTCGTATTATCCTAATAAGGTTCATAAATGATACATAAAAACGTATTACATAGACATATCTCGCGCCCTTTTTTTCTCCAAGGGTGCCAAATACGAACGATCGAAGGTATCGAGATAAAATAATTAAAAATACAAATGAAAAAAGTGTTAAGAGAGGCTAGGTGAAATCGAATCTTTAATTAATTATTATTAAAGAGCCTTCGCTTTACAAAAAAAAAGAAATTAAGAGAGAAAGAGTTTTTTGCCTAGAAAAATTTATCGATCTCGATTATAGTAGAAATTATTGCACCTGCCGCCGCTATATTATTCCTTTAAATTATTCGTGAAAAGAATTTGCAATCGCGAAAATTAAATTGTCCACGAAAAACTTTGACCAACGCGTGATAAACAACTGTTCAATTAATTTAATTTCTCTTTCATTTATGTGTTCTTTTTCTTTTTATTTCAAACGAGAAGAAGAACAATGTTATTGAATTTCAATTATCTCTAAAAATTCCACGTTTAATATAGAAGAAAATTATTTACGTTTGACTTTTGTTTCGATTATAATAAGTAACGTGAATTTCGTAAATTTTGTAAAAATGTTTCACCCAACTTACGAGCCCTGACAATTTCTCATCTTAGTCAATTAATATCTCATTTTGGTACTAATATAAAATTATTCTTTTATGCCTTTCGTCTATAAACTGTGATAGAGCATTTCAATTCGTTTAGGACACCCGCTGTACATATTAGGAATTAAAATAATAATCGTTATATTATATAAAAAAAAAAAAAGATAATTAAAATAAAAATTTTCGAAATTTAAAATACGAAAATTCCGAAAATTATTTCGATCGCATAGAAAAAAAAAAATACAAAAGAAACAGAAAGAAAAAAAGTTATATTTCATTCGCGTAAATTCATACCGATTAATGCGTCTCTGCATGTATATGTGTTACCGTCATAGCCGTGTAGACAAAAGAGTGTACTTTAATTTAATATAAGTTTTATTACAATCCATTTGTTAAAAGTATACAAAATATTTACCGAAACTTTTCAAAGAAATTGCAAAGATGTACAATTTACAGCACTACATTCTCTGACATTGTCTGAACTTTACATGCTGAATTTATAACTCAATATGGTATCCTACGCGTAGACAAAAGAGTGTACTTTAATTTAATATAAGTTTCATTAAAATCTATTTACTTTTAGTATAAAAAATATTTACCAAAACTTTTCAAAGAAATTGCAAAGATGCATTTGATATTCTATAAGATATCGAAGTATTATGTTCAATACTTAGGAAAAACTGTAAGAATTCTTCTGTTCCCGACTTTATCGGAAGGCTCTTTGCATTGATGAGAATGACGAGGAATTACCAGCAATGGCGGATTTCCGGCTATGACGGTAACATATACGTACATACACATACACATACGTAAATAAAAACAAAAATTAAAAAAAAAACTCGATTTGTTTTTCGCGTAGGGATATTAATCGAACTAATTATCGCAGTGCAAATATTCGTCCATTTACGAAAAAAAAGAACGCCCATTTAAATCGATACACAGGGCCTCGTGTTTAAAATTATGTATAATAAGAGTGTGTATAAAATAAAGCATGAAAATGCTGTCTTATTGATTTTAAATTTACTACTCTGTGATATCCCTTTCCCAAAATCAATTGAAATTATATGTAGTGTTTAAAAAAATACAATAAAATAAATTAATAAACATACAATATACTTTTAATGTTAAATTTTTTGTTTGCATCCTATATAAAAGGTGTACAAATTAATTCATCGAGGAGCCAATAATAATTCAGTTTTCATGACTCTATTTCTAAATTAAAAATTAATAAACATTTTTAATTAGATAAACGATAATTGTATCATTCATTCTGAATAATATTTGAAAAATATTACATTTGTGTTGCTATTATTTAAATAATTTCTATTTAGAAATTGAATTTTTTAATTCTCATTCATAGTTAGATTTACTTTAGATTCATTGACTATTTCTAATATGAGACATATCGTGTAGAATAAAAAGAAAGAGAAATATATGAGATTAGAAAACTATAGAGAAAGAGAAATAACGTGAGTCAGTGAGAGAGAGAGAGAGAAAGAGTCAAAGAGTCAGAAACAGATACAGCAGGCACGCATACGCTAAAGAGGAGAACGTTTGTAAACGTTGAACGAAGAAAGAAAGATTGATAAGAGTAAAGAAGAGAGAAGAGGAAGAGAAGGCATTGGCACCAGGCTATCATAACTGGGATACATCCTAGAGATAAAGCAACTGCCCACGCGCTTCTCTTCCTTCCTTTACAATCATTTAACGCAGTATAAACATCACAAACTAATTCATCACGATCGAATATATTATTTTTTTCTACTTATTTTTTCTCAACTTGCAAGAGAATGACGTACCACTCTGGTTTATATTTTTGTATGTAATAATACAGCGTGTAATAATTAAATATTTTATATCTAGTTGCAATTTGAAAATATTCGCATATTTGCGTAATTTATTTATTTCATTAATTGTTTAAAAAAATATTTAAATCATTAAATTAATGTGATCATATATATCATTGTTTCTATATACTTAAAATATATATATATATATATATAATATTATTGATATAAAACGTGGAGCTTGAGATAAAATTATTCTCGAAATATTTCAAAGAATTGTTTGTTCTCTTTCTAAAGAATTTCACATACATTCCTGACTAAAAAAGAAACGAAGGGTCTAGGATTTTTGAACATCTGGCACATGACGCTCCCTATTATACATTTACAAAGGAAGAGTCAATTTCACGGTAGTAAATGGGAACCTATATTACTTAAATCTTATCTCAGAAACAATATATAAGAAAAGAAAATCATTCTAATATTCGTAAATATAAAAACAAATGTTTTGTTTGCTTAACGCACTTCACATACAATTAATTTAATAATTAAATTATAAAATTACGTAAAAATTATTAACACGGTATTGTTTATTTCGCTTGATAATATTTTTTCTGGAATTATTAAAATTTCAAAGTAAAAATTAATTGAAAAGATAAGAAAGTATAAAATATATAGTGCAGGGTTCTGAAGAATTGTATTCCCAGGGTACGGTCCTGTCGTCGTGTCTTGAGCCGAACGAATGAAGCAGCTCTCTCGTTTCGAGACGCGTCTCTCACGACGCGTCAGCCTTGTTGAGAGAGTATTCTAGTCGTGTATTTTCCTATTAAATGTTCACCATATCATAGATTTCAAAGTAATAATTATCGTGAATAAAGTGTCGATGTTAGATCGAGTAAATAGAGAAAAAAACGTAGATTAATGGTATCGGTAAAATGAGCTTTGGAAAAAGGAATTAAGAAGAAAAAGGGTCCCAGAAACGTCGCTGACGAAGCAGCAAGTTGTGAAGACTGAAGTGGGAGAGAAAAAGAGAGAGAGAAAGAGAGAGAGAGAAAAATAGTGGGAGTTTTAGAGTGGGGGGGTTTAGCTAAAGAGAGAAAGGGATAGAAAATGAAAAGGGACGTAATAATACTCGTGTAGGCTGTGTAAGAGCACAACACAACGCAACAAATCTCGGTGGAGGTTTTTGAACAGTGTCTCCTCATCAACGGAATCAGAAGAAAGACGAGGAGAAAAGTTTTCATCCGTTGGAATCTAATATAGTTTTAAAAAGGAAAATACGAAAGAAACAAACAAACAAAGAAAAAGAGAAAGGGTATCCTAAAAGAAATATAATATACGGTAGGGACCAAAAGAAGCGGAAGAATTTACTTACGATGGTTACACACCTATGACGGGGGATGCATCGATGTGTTTTTCTTTTGAAAGGTGCCCATGCGCACGCGCGATGACGTCCGCGAGTGTACTTTTTAAATCGATCGATCGAAGGATCAATTGTTCACGAGATTTATCTTTTTTCTTTTTTTTTTTTTTTTATTTATTTTTGATGATATGCTAGAGAGAGAGAGAGAGAGGGTGAGAAGGAAATAGATGTATCAAAGTTATAAGGAACAAGTGATCTTTTTTTCATTTGAACTTTTTTTTTTTCTCTTGTTACACCCTACTCATACGTTTTACGATTATTCGGTAAAAGATGATTGAAACAAAACAAAAAAACAGGCTCTTTTTATTTATAATCGTTAGTTTTCAGTCGATTATAATATATTGCGGTTGGAAGGATAAAAGTATTGTAAAAAAGTGTTATTGAAATAAATTATCGTGTATCGTTTAAGTATCATCGAGAGTATCTCTTGAACTCTTCTTACGAATGAATAATTCGTTTGATTATTTTAAACGCGTACACGTATTCGATAAATGCGTTTCAAATAGAAACACTTTTTTTTTTGGCTTTACTTTACAGGATAAATGGAGTCCATGAGTTAGTCTTCTGACGAATTGTGCGTACCGGATGCTCCCGGACTCGAGCGGGAAATACTCAAAGATGGCCGGACATTTTTTTTATCGGCGAATCCTCCCTACGATTTTTATTTTGGCGATATTTCTTTTATCAGGTATGGAATTATATTCAATCATTTTTAATCGATTAAATTCTTGTTCTAAATACTATTCAAAACTCAATGATATTCTAATACACGTTTTTTGATTGATATCAAAAATTCGAGAAAAAAGAAAGAAAAAGAAAAAAAAGAAACTTAACCGAAAGTTCAGTGATCACGAATAATAATCACTCTTTTTATTCGTGCCTTTTATTACGAGAATTTTTTATCCGAAATGATTAGATAACGAAAAGACCTCACGACCCCGACATTACTTTCAAATTCTACGAATATGTACAAGTTCCTAAATTTAAGTGTCCTAGATATACCGATCGATTATCATATTGGATCAATAATCGACTAAAAATGAAATTATTAATCTTTTTTGTTATTATGGTAAACAAAAAAGAAATAATTATTTTTATAGAAATTATATAATTTCAAATATTAATCAGCGAAGTGAAAAATAAACTGCACTCAAATGTACCGTTATCTATGATATTTTAAAACATAAAGTGATAAAAAAAAAATGAATAATTTATTATAGCACAAAATAACACACAGTACGGTTCGTTTTAAAAGCTGCTTCATCATAAACATCCCGTTGTCCAACTCGCGATAACAACTACCGGTAGTAAAATGCTCTATGATGATAACTTCGAATTCCAAGAATCATTGAAATATTTCCTTATTATATCGAAACTGATAGAATTTTATCTTTTTAGGTTCAGCAAAGGCCCAACAAACAAGGGATTTAAGATTACCACCAAACAGAGGTGAGTTATCTTTCATTAAATTATTCATTTTATCTAAAACTATTCGGCAAATCTTCAAAATTAACAAATACTTTGAAGGAACTATGATATATAATTGATTGCAATATACAAATCAGTTTGAATACCAACTTATAAATGAAACTTAATCAATTATGATAGGAGTCTGATGGAAGATAAAATTGGAATAAAAAAAAAAGGTAAAAATGAGAATGTTATAGGAATAATACCAGGAGGAAGCGTTTCGCCAATGGAAATAATAACAAGACGTCATAATGGGCTAGGGATGACCATCCCACAACGAAGAGGTAGCTCGATGACGTAATGTGTCGATATTCTGGTTCTATCTTGCATAAACTAACTGGTTATGGGATGCAATATCTTCCCTGGTCATCTTGTTATTAATAAAAATCGAATGTTTTTCCTTTTTTTAACATTATTAAAAACAAATATCATGTTCAATAGATACCCACATGTTTATTCGCCTAACAACATTTATCAATGGGAACAGAAATAACGAAATTCGTGAATAAATATTATTTGCATTTAAAAAGATATGATAAAATATTTTTGCATTGACAGGTCCACATCTCAAAAGGCTACATCCCTGCGAACAAAGTTCATGCTATCCTGCAACAGGAAATCTTTTGATTGGCCGAAAAAATCGTCTATTTGCTTCTTCCACGTGCGGTCTTAAGTTTCCAGAAAGATACTGCATCGTTTCGCATCTTAAGGAACGAAAAAAATGCTTCTTTTGCGATGCATCTTTGTCGAAACAACAACACAATATCGAGAATGTCGTTGACGGGTATGTCAACATTTTTGCAATTAGATTAAATACTCTAAACCATAAGAATTGATTTATATAAATGGACAAACTATAATTATTTTCTTTCTATACTCACTTTACAGAACAAATTCACGACACTGGTGGCAAGCCGAAAATGGAAAAGAATATGTAACCATAAGAGTTGATTTCGAAGCTGAATTTCATTTCACTCATATCATCATCCGTTTCCAAACATTCCGTCCAGCAGCTATGCTAATAGAACGGTCATTTGATTTTGGAAAAACTTGGAAGGTTTACAGATACTTTGCGCATAATTGCGAACAATCATTTCCAGGCGTACCAACGCATCAACCACGAAGTTTGACCGAAGTAATATGCGAAACGCGTTATTCTGGGGTTGCCCCATCAACTGATGGTGAAGTTATTTTTAGGTGAATGAACTTTTGTTGATTATTTATTAATATAACATTCCTATATGTCTTCATAATTCATAAAGATACTACTATTACTATTACATTACAGAGTATTACCACGAAATTTGGAAATCGAAAATCCGTATTCGATAGAAGTGCAAAATTTGTTGAAAATCACCAACCTGAGAATAAACATGACGAAATTGCACACTTTGGGAGATGACTTGTTGGACGATCGTCCCGAGATAGGGGAGAAATATTATTATGCAATCAAAGATATGGTAATTCGAGGGTCTTGTTCTTGCTATGGACACGCATCAAGATGTCTTCCTTTAGCTGGAGTAACACACGAAGAAAACATGGTACATGGAAGATGCGAGTGTACTCACAACACCACAGGATTAAACTGTGAGAAATGTGAAGATTTCTATAACGATTTACCTTGGAAACCTGCGGTCGGTAAACAAACTAACGCGTGTCGACCATGCAATTGTAACAATCACACAACTTCCTGTCACTTTGACGAGACGGTTTACGAAAAATCTGGTAGAGTTTCCGGTGGTGTATGCGATGATTGTCAGCATAATACGCGTGGTCAAAATTGCGAACAATGCAAACCATTTTATTATCACGATGTTAGTAAAGATATTACGCATCCCGAAGCTTGTCAACGTAAGTTATATCAATGTTCTCTTAAAAATCAATCTTATTATGTAATAAATGATCAGCTAATTTTACTTTTTTTTCATTCTTATAATTGTACAGCTTGTGATTGTAACTTGAGTGGTTCTTTGGACGACGGCATATGCGATTCCAGAACCGATATTCTTAGCGGCGATGAGTCTGGTCGTTGTCACTGCAAAGCGAACGTAGAGGGCCGTCGTTGTGATCGTTGCAAGAATGGTTTTTGGAATTTCAATCCAGAAAATCCTCAAGGATGTCAAAGTACGCTATACTAAAAATTATCATTTAAATATTTAACAGTTATAAACAATTTCCAAATAAATATTTGAATCAATATTAATAAATAAATATTGATTTATTTTACAGCATGTACCTGTAATACTCTTGGTACCATCGACAACCAGGGTTGTGATATGATAACTGGAGAATGTACTTGTAAACGTTACGTCACTGCTCGCGACTGCAATCAGTGTTTGCCAGGATATTGGGGGCTTTCTGAGGATCCCGAAGGATGTAAGCCTTGCGATTGCGATCCTGGTGGTTCATACGAAAATTCTTGTGACGTTATTACCGGCCAATGTCGATGCAGACCTCACATCATTGGTAGAACTTGTAATCAACCGGAACAAAGCTATTATACTGGCTCTTTAGACTTTTTAATTTACGAAGGAGAACTATCCAGAGCAACTGAAGTAATTTATATAAATATATATACGAATATTTATTTTTATTTAAGGGAGTATTCTAGTGTGTCTGATCAAAAAAAAACTAATTTCTTTTTGCATATTATTATAGATCGGGATCTTAATAATTGGTCCTGAAAATTTCAAAGTAAAATTCATTAAAACGTTTCTTTTACTTAAATTCCCAAAAATTTTACCTCGAAAACGGGTGCTCACATTAGAATACTCCCTTAATTCATTCATTTTACTTTAAATCAATATTTTCTTCAGAATTGTCAAGTTGTGATAAGAGAACCTTATCGCGACGGAAGAAATAGTACTTGGACGGGTATAGGATTCATGAAAGCTTTGCAAGACTCAACGCTCAACTTTACCATCGATGATATCCGTAGATCTATGTGGTACGATATAATTGTACGTTATGAACCACTACTATCAGGTACATGGGAAGACGTTCAAATAATTATTGAAAGAGATGGACCTGTGGACCCTAATGGTCCTTGTGCCCAATCGACACCAGAATATGATCGATTATGGGTACAGTTACCATATCATACAAGAAATGCTGTTGCTCAACCTTCCGTTTGCTTGGAAAAGGACAAACAATATAATGTCATATTGCAATTCCGTAAATTTAATAGTCATGTAGATACACCAACAGCATCTATATTAATTGATTCCGTAAGTATTTATACATAAGTCAATGAGTCTATCTGTATATTCTAATTTTATCTTTAACGATGTTTTCTTCAAGATTGTCGTAAAGCCTAGAATAGATGCCATACCTTTCTTCAATAAACCTGATGTTGGTGAATTACGTCATAAGGAATATGAATTGTGTAATCAAGCGTTTAATGATTTCAATTATATTCAGAATAATTTACCTAACATGTGTAAAAAGTATCAGGACAGTATCGGTTATTATGTTTTCGAGGGTGCACATCGTAAGTGAAATAAGCTTTACTCAAATGACTATACCTAAAGACTAGAAAAATGAGAATATACCTGTAACATAGTATTTACTTTGTTTCAGCTTGCGAGTGTAATCCTACAGGATCGCATAGTCTTCTTTGTCAAAATTATGGTGGCGCATGTCCTTGTAAAGTTAATGTAGTCGGTAGACGATGCGATCGCTGTGCTCCAGGAACCTATGGATTTGGTCCAGGAGGATGCATACCTTGTGACTGCGATGGTGTTGGTGCTTTGGACAACTTTTGTGACGTCGAAACCGGACGATGCAAATGTCGACCGAATACTTATGGTAGAACGTGTGGTCAATGCGAACCAGGTTTTTGGGATTTCCCACATTGTCAACGATGTCAGTGTCATGGTCATGCGGATAACTGTGACTCTAAAACCGGAGCTTGTATCAATTGTCGTGATTCTACCACTGGCCACAATTGCGATCGTTGTATCGAAACATTTTATGGGGATCCAAGAATAGGGGTTGACATTCCATGCAGAGCTTGTCCTTGTCCAGGTAAGAATCTTTTGTCAAAAAACGAAATAAGAACAAATATATTCTTTCGTAATTATTTGAAGTAATAAACGATTCAATTTTTGTTCTTTTTTATACACATAGGAACATTAGATTCTGATCATTCATACGCCGATAGTTGTTCCCTCGATTCTGTAACACAGGATGTAATTTGTGAGTGTTACGAGGGTTACAGCGGTCCACGTTGTGAAAAGTGTGCTGAGAATTATTTCGGCAATCCTGAAGTATCAGGTGGAAGTTGCGACCCTTGCGATTGTAGTAATAATACCGATCTGAGTGTAGCTGGTAACTGTGATCCACACAGTGGACGTTGTCTACAATGTCTTTACAATACCGATGGACCAAACTGTCAAATTTGTAAACCCGGATTCTATGGTGATGCACTTAAGCAAAATTGTCAAGAATGTAACTGCGATTTCCTTGGAACCGACAGATCTTCTGGAACTTGCAATCATCATACTGGACAGTGTCCTTGTTTGCCTCATGTAGTTGGTCAATATTGCGATACTTGCGAAGAAAATCATTGGAGGATCGCTAGTGGCCAAGGTTGTGATCCTTGCGAATGTGACGCTATCGGAAGTGTATCTGACAAGTATGTACAATAATTAACATAATATTTATGTAATCGTTCAAACCTTTCATTCGATCATTGTTAATTCTTGTTTTTAAAAACAGATGTAATCCTTTCGATGGAAATTGCGAGTGCAGAGCTGGTTTCGGTGGACGAAAATGCAATGAATGTCAAACGAATTTCTGGGGAAATCCAAATATCGAATGTACCAAATGCGACTGTAATCAAATCGGTTCGGCAAGTCAACAGTGTGATAGAGAAACTGGTGTCTGTGTTTGTCACAAAGGAATAGGAGGTGAAAAATGTGATCAGTGTGACCGTGGTTATCATGGCGAAGCACCCCAATGTAGCCCATGCGGTGAATGTTTCGATAATTGGGATTTAACATTGAACGAATTGAAAAACAAAACAAACCTTGTCATCGATGAGGCTTCCAGAATACAAAAAGTCGGTACTACTGGGGTTTATAGTCAGGAATTCGACGACATGGTCAATTCATTGAACCAAGTACGCGATTTGATCAGTAACACTTCTATCAAGAGTCAAGATTTAGACGAATTGACTAGTTTAGCCGAGGATTTAAGTAAGAACGTATCGGATTCTGCTAAACGATTAGAAGAAGTCGATAATTTGTTAGAAAACGTTAGTCAACGAGTTAATCTTGGCGATGTAGCGTTAAAAAAATTGAAAAATAGAACGAATAGTTTGCATCAAGGTGCTATGGAATTGAAAGAGAACGCTACGATATTGCAAGAGGAAAATGTTCAAGGTGCGCTTAATGTAACTCAACAAATGGCCGAGCAATCTTTACAAGCTGAAAAAATGGCGAACGATACGAACAACGTTCTAGCCGATGCGGAAAGATATCGTAAACATACCGAAAATCTTTTAGCCAAAAATAGTGCATCGGTTAATGAAGCTCAAGAAAGGAATAATGAATCTTTAGAAAAATTAAGCAATAAGTTAAATGCATTGAACGGAGGTATGCGTGAATTAAATACTCGAATGTGCGGCGCAAATGTCACAGATTGTAGCGACGTTTGCGGCGGTGCTGGATGTGGTTTTTGTGGAGGACTTTCATGTGATTTTGGTGCGATAACAATAGCTAATCAAGCCTTGGATATGGCCAAACAACAGGCTGCTAAAATTAAAGGCCGAAGGGATGAGGCTGAACAACTATTACGTAATGTAAGTTAATCTGCTGATCTTTCATTCTGCTTCTTTCCATTTTCCTGTAAAATTTTTTTTATCATTTCTCACAAAATCTAACATTTTTACAGTTGACCAAAGTCAAACAAGACGCCATGGCAGCAAGATCGAATGCACAAGACGCGTTTAACAATGCTTTGGAAGCAAGAAATCGTACCGATGCGATAACCAAAAGTTTGTCCGATACTAATAAAAGAATTTGGAGTATGTTGAACGAAGACCAACCAACGCCAACGATGGTGAGAGATTTAGCTAACAAAATATTGGTCAAGAATATACAATTGAAACCAGATGAGATTACCCAATTAGCAAATCGCATAAAAACAATCGTCGGTTCTCTCACGGATTCGGACAAAATTCTTGAAGATACAAAAGCCGATCGCGAACTAGCTCATAAATTAGTGGAACGTGCTAACGAAGCTAAGGAAGCAGCGTTAAAGAAACAAAACGAAACGAACGAGATCGTATTGTCTTTGACAGAAGCGAAAAAGGCACAGGAATTGGCCCATACTGCGATAGACAAAGCGCAAAGTGACGTGGCCAAAGCGCAACAAGATTTAGGTTATATAGCTGTGACTATTGAGGAAGCTCAAGCAAAAGCTAACGATACTACCGATTCCGTAAAAGCTTTGGACGCAAGACTACGACAATTACAAACGCAATCGGCTAAAAATGCTTTTATCTTGAATCAAGAAATCGAAGTTGAAACACGCAAAGTTGCCCAAGAGGCGCATATCGTCGATGGTAAAACAAAACAATTAGAAGAGGAATATAAAAAGGCTGACGAGTCTTTGAACTATCGTGTCAATAAGAGCAAAGGTGACATACAAAGAGCGAAGAAATTACTTCAAAGAGCTTCCGAATTAACAGCTGACACGTCGACCAAATTCAAGGATTTAGATGGTATGGAAAGCGTTTACAAAGAAAACGAGAGAATACTCGTTGATCTCATGACTGAGATAGATTCTCTAACCATAGAAATGGCGAAGCATCTCGGGGAGATTGAACGAAAGTCCCAAACTTACAGACAATGCACTTCGTAATGATCATTTATTTATAATGTTTTGGACCATTAGAATCGTATAAGGAAACCTCATAAACAATGGCGGTTTTATTCTTCAAAGAGGTCGTAGGGTTACACCTTCTTGGGGTCTTCATTAAAATAAATGAATTATGCACAATTTACATTCTTTCATTTCAATCGTTTATGCAAATGAGAAAATACATGGAAACACAATGTCCAAATTCGATTATAATTTTCGATATACGAATTGTGCATGAATCTGCCATTGTTCATAGGAGTACATTATTCGATTCAAAATTTTTAACAACACTAACTTTTAATAAAGAGATAATATCATTTTCTAAATAATAATGAAACTACGCATATCATATTAATATTCAAAATAGTTTCTATTACGATGCAATTAATATTAGATTCTCATATCTTCTAATTCATACTTTCATAATACTCGAACCTAGATACCGACGAGGATCAGTTATTTTTTTTTTACTACCATAATATCTAACAAAAGTGTCATGTTTTTTATTGTGAAATAAAATCGAATATACCTTTACTTACATTTTTATAATATTATCTGTGTACATATGTAGTTTATATATATATTATATATAAATGCATACATATCTAAGTAAATTTGTATCGCACAACATTCGCCATCATTTAATTACTATATTTTTCTATAATTATCATTTAATATTGTAATGAAAGACAACGTTAGATGTAACGTGAACGGTGGTAATAGAAAGAATTCTAACGAATCTACGCAACGTCGAAATACGAGAAGGAGAAAATGATTTATTTTACGTAACATTAAGAAAATGAAAAAAAAAAAAAATTTGTAATGTTACGATCAAACCAAATGCTTTAGTAAATATATAGGTAGAATATAATAAATGAATAATTTATTATAAATATACGTGCAATAGAATATATATTATAATAAATAAATAAAATTAAGAAATTTATCAAATGAAAAAAGGGGATTGATCTATTGAGAAACCAAAATTATTTTTTTATACAAATAACCATTAGAATTGCATATTCAACATTATGAATAATATTTATCGTGGATATCCGTAAAATAGAAGAGAACAAAATAAGAATTATAAACTCTTCCATCGCTTCAAACATATTTTTAATTCCTTATGTACGACGAAAATTTGTTAGATAGGAGGAAAGAACATTCTGCCGGAAATACGATAAGAGAAAAGATAAGAAGTTTATTCTGATAATTATTAAATTCTAAGCATTATGAAAAAGAAATTCAATTTATTTATTTTTTCTTAATTTATTATTTTAATTTCGATTTAATTTATTTTTCTCTTTCCTTACAAAAATTTCTTTCACTTTAAATGAAAGATCATTATGACTCAGATCCTACGATTATTAATTCCAACAAAATCTAATCAATTAGATGACAAATTTTGTTATATACAAAATTACGTATGTTAATTTATTTTTATATATTTTTTTATTTTTATTCTTTATGGGAAGAAAGTTAAATTGACTTATAGGATCACATCCTGGAGTATAAAATTTCTCTGTAAAAGCAATCCTTGCTGTTTATTGTGGTAGTACCCGAATGTCGAGGGACGCACGTGCGTAAATAGAAAATTCCCCTACTAAACTCTCCCTCCCCTGTTTTTGATAATCAACTTGGAACGATGCTGCCGGCGACAGCAGCTTTTACGGGAACCCATCTGCATTTTTTTTTTCTTTTTACTTTTTTCTTTTTCTTCTATTTTCTTTTCGGTTGCACCTACTCGGACGAAATCGTCTTTCCCTTTTGAAACATGGCCCCAGACGCTAGAGAATATTTCGTGAATAAAGAAGCTTTGTTGAATTCAAATGGTGTATGTATGAGGGCTCACGGGGTTGCTTACAATGAGTTCATTCAATACGAACCTCGGTGGTTCTCAAACGGCATTAGATATATCTACGTCAGAGGATTAATCCTTTTTTTTTTTTCTTAACTCCTTCGCAATTGTACGCGATCGCGTTAAAAAACGAATATCAAATGTTTAACGATAAATAATTCAATTAAAACATTTCGTTAGAATTTAATTTACACGTTTTATTTTACAATTTAATCGAAAAATATCATGTATTATTCTTTTTACTTTTTTTTTTATATATATTTATTTTTATATCGAATGATTCAATGTAACAATAAAAATTAATAAAGAAGGAAAACAAAAGTATTATTATATCATCAATTGTGGAACGTATAACATTATTAAGAAAGTGATTATTATGAGAGTACATTTTATCTAATAAGAGTTGATATTTGACATAAGAAAAATTATTGAGAGGCACTGGATTCCAATGAACGATCTTATGGTCATTATCGTTAAGATTTCTCTACATACATCACACAGCTGTATAATGAATTAACCTACCAAACGAATATCCATACATTGGCATAGTAATGCATACGCATTACGTTGACATATTTTGGTTTTATTCGATAGGGTTATTTTATTCTTGAAGTACGTAAAATCGCACGATTATTGAAACATTCAAAATTTACTGTATAGGATGAATCAATAAGTATTGGCATCATAAAATAATTGTGTTTAATTAATTTGTTTTTAAATAATTTAGAACTTGAAACACATTTTATACAAGGTCATTCATACGATATTATTCAACGTGAATAATTATTGTTTCATACTGTATATTTTTCGATTCTGTTATTCGATGAATTAATATTAACGATTAAACAACCAATCTTTTCATTGGACAAAGATTAAAATTATCAGAAAGCATATATTAAATGTTACAGACAGAATTCTTGGACATTATAATCAGTTTATAGGACAAAAGGTTAATCGTATTGAGAAAGAGAAAAATGATAGTTAAAAAAAAAAAGAAAAGACATATAAAACATAATTTTCCTCTTATCGAGAAACACACACACATATTGAATTTATACGAGATAACTTGTTCATCAATTCTCTAAATATAAATCTTTCTTTTTTCCACGATAGAAATGTTTAGGTAAACGATAAGCCGAAATTCGGTTACAAAGTTTACATAGTCTGATTATCTGAAGGATACGTTTTATAGTAAGGGGGAGAACTTTCGATTACTTTCCGTGTGTATCTAGTTTTTTCTATTTTAAAAAATATAACAAAAAGATTTTTCGTTTTATTCAAAGTTCTCAAAATACAAAGATCTTTATGCTTGTTGTTTAAAAAACTCACTGTCCAATAACTCCAACGTGTTTGAAATAATACGAATCGATTTCGAAAGAAGAAAAAACAAATGTTCAATTAAAAAATAAAAACTATATATTTAAATATTATAAACTACTGATTTATAACAGTCAATTATACAACTAATAATAAAATAAATAAGAACAAACAAAACTAGAATAATTCAAACGATCCTTTAGAATTGCAGCAAGTCGGAAGTCATAAACCAGTCAGAGTCATAACTCGAATTCCACATCGGGGATCATTTCGCGAGGGGTTGAAAGATGTAAGACAGGTAAGAGAATGAAAAGAAGGGAAAGCTTACATGCACGTAGTATGCTCTTGTATTGTAGAAAGGGCAAGGAAACGGTTCTTGTCGATTGTTTGGCGTCTTTTGTAGGTAGTAGTCGGTTTGACAGCTGGTTCTTGCCGTGGTAGACTGAGGTGGACTAAGGTGGGAAATAGGAAGTGGGGTGGGAGGTCAAACCAGCAGTAGCAGTTTACAGGTATAAGAGTAAGTGGGGAGAGGGGTAAGTGGGGACCAGACCAATCGTCTCTTTTCTCCCATAGGATTCTCACATTTCCAATACGAAATTCAGAAACGATAGCACGAGCCACTAAACTTGTCTAACTTCGATTCAATCGCGTGTTACAATTGAAATATTTTTGATCGATATCCATAATAATATCCTAATTGTTTATTTTAATTAAAATTGTATAAAAGAATCGGACACGGTGAATAATAAATATGATATTAATTAATTATTTGACACAATATGAAATTATTTACTAGTGTAAAAAAAAAAAGAAATGTTCGATGAAAATTGTAACATCGGAGTGATCTAAAATATTAAGGAAGATCATTGATTGAGAAGAGAATTGTGTAATTATCAAATATAATCGATTAAACTTGACACGTTTTTTTTTTTATTAAAGACAATCGAAAGAAATTTTCAGCTCTACGGGAAACTAATTTCTAGACTTGTTTATCCTTAGTTTTCTTTTCTTTTCTTTTCTTTTTTTGTTTTATTTTGTCGTTAAACTCTTGAAATCGATCATTGATCTGTTTAATAAATCTAAAGGTAAGATCCTGTTTTACTCTCATCTTTTTATTTTAAATTATATAAATAAATAAGTAAAATAATATTTTTAATTATCGTCTATGTGTTAACAACTCGATAATTGAAAATAATCAATTTGAAGATGAAGATTTTAAAAGGAACATACGATCGTTCAAAAAGATGCGCGTTTAAGCCATGTCTATGATAAAAGTAAAGTGAGGTGTGTCGTGAATTATATTAATAAATGTTCGATCGTGGAAAGTACACAATTTACAAAAAAATGAATATTACGAGAATACTTGTGAAATACACTTTGTCTAATCAAATTCATGAAATTATAACTACATTAAAAAAAAAAAAATAATCATCTTGACACAATCATATATTTTGAAAATTATTATACTATCTAACGTATATATATACTTAAGTAAATGACAATAATTCATTACAATGAATTGATTGTATTTAATCTAGTCTATAAAATACAATCGTTTAATTATTTACAAATTTGTATATTATCTAATCTGTGCATGTGCAATGTAATAATTCATTGTAATGGATTTAGAAACTTTAATATCAAATTAAATATGTTTTCAATAAAATCAACAAAATATTTTCTATGAATAAAAATTAAATGTAAGCTTAAATTGTATAAAACTAAGATTAGAAAAAAATCAAATGTGTCGCTTCGGAAGCTGCGGTCACAAAATACAAAAGGAGAAGGCGCGATAGGAGGTGGGAAAGTTAGTCTAGAAAGAAAGAGAAAGAGAGAGGGAGAGAAATAGCATTAGATAAAGACGGTAGAGCATGTGTACACTGGTAAAGGGCGCATACGTGGTCAGAGTTCGTCAGTCTCGATCGGTCTTCGAGTAAAAGAAGGTTACGCGTTGTTTATCCTATTATTTTCTTGTCTCGAGAGCCTACTTACGTTTTATGATCTCAACGAGGAATTAAAAAATAAAAATAAATTGAGCACTCAAGTAGAAAAAAATAAAATAAAATAAAGTAAAATAGAAAAAAAAAAAAATGACGAAGCATTTGAATATTATTTATAAATTGATAAGTTTTTTTTTAAGACATAACAAAGTTAACTTTAATAAGCTCGATATTTTATTGTAAAGAAATCGATTTAATCAAATAGAAATGGCAAAGTATTTAAATATTATTATTTTTTAATTTTTAATAAAATATAATAATAATAATAATAATAAATTAAGAAAAAACACAGTCGTCCTTTCGTTTAAATAAATAATATATGTTTTTCATGTGATGGTAGTGTTTATAACGTGTAACCCTAAGCGTGTATATGTGTATCTAATCGTCGAACTCATTAAAGAGGGGTCGTTATTCTATGATCTATAGGCGACTGCTTGCAAATAAATAAGCGTACTTTAAGATTAATGGACTTGTTAAAAGAATCTACGTTAAAGTGTTGTTTGCGTTGTGTTTGTGTGTTTATCCTTCAGCCTTGAAAATGTCTTGAAAAAGAAAGTCTTGTTTTTAATAAATATTTTCAGATTTATTCGTACGCGATAGGAGCGTTCAATCCAAATTTGATCATTCGAAAGAATGTGAAGAAAACGACATTTTTCGAAAAATAAGAGAAAGAAAAAGGAGACTATGGCAAACTCTTCATCGATAAACACCAGCTTCGATGACGCTGAAGAAATCGGAGCTTTTAAACATTTCTCTCGATCGACTACCATATTTGCTGCCATTTGCGCGATAATCTTCAGTATTGTTGGTATAATAGGTATTAATATTTATATGTTAATTATTTTTTATATGATTATTACTGTGCTGAATCCCATAGAGAAAAATTTATATAAATCAAAATTATAAATAATTTTAACGGAACTGAGTAAAATATATTTTATCTAATAAATTTTGTATAGTGATTAAATGACATAATATTTTTCTTAATATTTTAATAATAAATTTTACTCTCAACTCTGAATTATATTAATCGTAAATATTTGTTTCATTTAATTTTAACTTAAAAAATGTCACTAAGACAACTTTTAATTAATTGATGAAAAAATATTAAGAGTAATTACTAAGTTTCTTCTTAATTGAAGGTAATTTGGTGACAGTAATCGCGCTACTGAAGTACACCAGACTAAGACGACACGCTACAACGGCATTCGTGATAAGTCTTAGCGTCTCTGATCTAATTTTCTCAGCTGTTAATTTACCATTGACGGCTAGCAGATATTTAAACGAAGCTTGGATCCTTGGCGATGCTCTTTGCCAGATCTTCCCACTTTTCTTTTATGGAAATGTTGCTGTCTCGTTGCTGAGTATGGTAGCGATTACAATCAACAGGTCAGTAATCTCTAACTCATAAGTATACTAACGACTATGATTTGATGCGCGTTGAATCATCAATGAGTCAATCTTTAATTTATTCTGACTTGTAAAGTGATATCTTATTGAAGATAATTTTAAACAAAATTTCTTCGAATTCGTTTAAAGTATTTTCGAAATTTAATAAAAAAAAAAATCTTAACTTGCTTTTTTTTAAAAATTTAATCAGTCAACATTGAAAACTAATATTTCTATTATTTTCTCTAGATACGTACTCATATCAAGATCGGATATCTATGCTGCAATATACACTACTAGGGGTATTGTATTGATGTTAATCGCCATATGGACCCTTAGTTTCTCCCTTTTGATACCCCCTTTGGTAGGCATCTGGGGTAAACTCGGATTAGATCCAACGACCTTCTCTTGTACGATTTTGAAGAAAAACGATTCTAGTCCAAAAAAGGTGCTTTTTGTCATAGGCTTTATCGTACCCTGCGTAGTTATCAGCGTTTCTTATTTTTGTATTTACTGGCGCGTAAGAAAGAGTCGAAAGAATTTGGAAGCTCATGCTCCGGGAGGAAGAAGAAAAGCCGGTGGTGGATTTCAAAGGAGAGAAGACTCCAGAGTTACCAGACTTATGTTAATTATATTTTTGTGTTTTTTAACTTGTTTCATGCCGCTTATGTTAGTCAACGTAATCGACGAAAAAATTAGCATTCCAACGTTGCACGTGATTGGTTCCATATTAGCTTGGGCATCTTCTGTTATAAATCCTTTTATTTACGCTGGTACCAACAAATTATATAGAGAAGCTTACAAACAAATCTTATGTCCCGGCTCGAACAAAGTACCAACGACTAGCCCGAAACCAACACACTCGCACTCGAGTAAAATCTCGTCACCCCCGTTAACGTGACTAACGTAAATTCGAATCTGTACATTTGAATTAAATTCAATCATTCATTATGTCATATATTATTTTTATAATTTTTTGAAATTATAATAATTTAAGTTATTACGAAGATATTGTGTTCTTAATAGTTGGATATATCAGCGCGATCTTGTAAACATATCTTTTATATTTAAATCAAAATAATTTAAATACTCTTTTTTGTGTATTATCTTCATTTGTACCATACAGATTTATTTGTTAGAGTATCAAGTAATTTTGCTTTGCATATACAAATATGTGTACCTTGTATATAATACTATCAAACAAAAATACTTTGTTTTTTATTTTTACAATACATTTGGAATGTTCGAGTAGAGAGTTCTATATATAAATGTATTTATATATATATATATAGTAATATTATTATTTACCTAGCGAAATATGGACGGAAATTGTAGTTATAATTTTGTATAAAAAAAATATCATTCATAAAAAAAAAAAAAAATACAAATATAATATACATTTGAAATATTGAGTGAAATTAAATATCATCTAGTCTAGAGTATATAAATGGTAACTACATATGGCGTATAAAAAGCTTAATTTACGAACACCTTATAAATATAAATATTAGATATGGTGCAATAGATATCAGCACGATTTACCGTTTACGAATGTAATAGTAAATCACTTACTTATTTTACTTACGACTTAGACGAATTTTGCTTTAATGTAACCTAATTCTTTCTTTCAAATACATATTATATAAGTATTGTTTCTAAGTCCAAATTATTTTTTTTTTAAATGTAAAAATAACAAAAAATTGGTTTATCAGTCTTTCAAACATACGTGTCGAGCAAGTCGGTTGAGGTAGATATAATGATTTTAAGTACTAACCATTTCACATTATATCTACAAATATTGAATAATTCATATGTAACTCTAATTATTATATACTTATCGAGATTAATTCACCTCCAACTCAGGAATGTAGGGTTCCGTATATGCAGTGATGGGACATATACTCAAAGTATTCTGCAAAAAAAAGCATTGTCATATTTAATTAAAATTTTTTATTATTAGAGTAAGTTAATAAATTATAAATAATACAAGTAATTCAAACCATACCAATCTCTCAAGCTCGTCAAAAGTTGGCCTTTCTTCTGGATCCACTTGCCAGCATGACAACATCACTTCGTACAATGGATCAGGCGTATCTGGTAATTGTGGTAATCTGATACCTTGTTCAATGGCTTCCTCTACTTCGCTATCAAATGAAAGATTTGAATATGGAGTTCCACCCATGCTAAGCATTTCCCATAAAAGTACTCCAAATGCCCAGACAACACCAGGCTGATGTTTCTTTTTACTAGTAAAACATTCTATTGCCCTCCATCGAGCATAGTTTATGTCTTCCAAGATATACTTTGCAATACCATGACCCATGACTTTAGGTATCCAATCATTGGTAATGCCTATACTTCTAGCACATAAATGAGTATGAACGATCTTATAATTTTCAAGATGCTTTAACGCGGATGCGATTGAAGAACCTATAGGTAATATTTTATCAACTGGAAATATTGTTCCAGATCTAGCAGATAATAATAAATGTTTCAATAATTGCGGAGGCATTTCTAAAACGACGTATAACGTATCCGAGGTTTCACAGGTACCAACTAAACCTGCAAGATACATCATCGTTGATGCTTTGATACATATATCTAACTCTCTTAACATAGCTTGCTTTTCTGACGGTTTTAAAGAACGATCAGCTATAGTATGAATTACCACGGAACAAGTTTGCTCATCTTTTTGTACCGTGCCAGAATGAACTGTACCAAATCGTCCTCTACACAAGACCGCATTATTGATCGATAAACTACTTTGTGGTATACTCCACACTTTATTCTTTAATTCTTGATAATGATTAACCCTTTCTGGTATATCTTCTGGAATATATCCCATGTTATCTACTTCGTGCAACGGTCCTTGTAAAGTCAATTCTTGCTGTTCCGGGAGTTTGATTATATGTGCCTTTTCATGATGGCGTCTTACTAAGTAAAATATTAGCATAGATATAATAAGTAACGATCCCAAGAAAATAATTCCCATACGTAAAAAAAAGACAATCGCGTCAGGATCCATTTGATAAAATTCATCCTTTTGAGATTCTTTAATACTGTTGGTAAAATTAGAATAGGAATACTGCACTTCTCTTTGTGCTTTCGATATAACAACTAATCCTATTTGAGGCATCATGGAATCAATTTTAAGAGGAGCATTGTAATATCCGCCTATTAATCTTCCATCCCCTACCACAAATTTCTTATAATTATGAAAGTCTGATGCATCGAATTCTGCTGTTATATAATAACCTAAACCTTCTTGAAACGATTTTTCATAATTGAAATACATAACATCCGAACCTACAGGTGATATTATACCAGGTTGAACTACTACGACTTGATAAGCACTTACTGGTCCATTTTCGCTACTTCCCTCGGAAAGCATAACTGTAATAGTAGTTTTATCTATATTTAATATTTTTGGTGTTATTGGTTTATCTGGTGGACCTATGGATGTCCATTCGGTAGCGTAAGCTGGTTTACTAATTCCTTGCGAGTTACTTGCAGAAATGGATATGTTGTATTTAGTACCAGGTTGAAGACCTCTTAAAATAGTATTATTAGATGTACCACCTTGTACTTGACTTTCTATTGGTGGTAAAATGTTATAAGCGTAAGTTTTAATAGCGACAGCTGTCAGCGTATAAGATGTAATATTTCCATTAGATATATCTGGCGGCTGCCATGTTATTAAGAAGTTATTATCTTTCTGAGGAATTATTTGAATAACTCTTGGTCTACTAGGACCTACAATCAAATAATTGTTTAGTAAATCAATATAACATTATAATAAACGATAATAAATATATATGCAAAACATACCTTTTTGTCCAGTCGAATATATGCTCATAGCTTCTTGACCTCCACAATATTTAGATGTATCTGCAGTACATAAAATATTGCAAGCGTCAGACAAACCATTCTTTCCAAACTTGCTACCACAATAACATCTTTGTCCATTTTGTAATCCGGCAAACCTGCACAATTATTATAATAATAACATATATTATATTTATGCTCGCTTCTAACTGATCGTTCAATTTAAATGCATGTATGTATATACATACATGTGATCATAAGAATGACATTGTTCGATGCATTCAATGGGTGTAGTAATACGACTTGAAATTAAGGATGATAAATCAGGATCCTCGGCAGGACTCTTAAAACAACCTTCGTATTCCTGTCCTAATACTACATTTATATAAAACAGTAATATTATAGCAGCCATATTTATATTTTTATTTTTTTCATCGATTATTCCGATTGCTGATCTTGTAATAAAACAAAGATACGTATTTCATTTTCTAGATTTTATGATTCATTAATTTCACATCGCGAGTTTATGACATGATGTCATATTGACAATGAGTAGAAGTAAGGTTAGATCTTGATCATGTTTTAATATTTTGGTAAATTTAATTGGATCTTATTTAACACTTATAAATTGTCTTTTAATTATAATCGATAATCTATATTCTATAAATATAGTAGAAAAATATTTGTGAATTAATTAAATAAACTAATCTTTGAGCGTAAACAAAATCACTTCACTAACATGACACATGCAGATGCGTGCGTCATAGCTAAACTGATGTCAGCGCACTCTAGTCTTACTCTTAATATGGCTCCAAATTTGAAATTGCCATTTAAAGAAATGTATCTAATTGAATTAATATTTTAATCTATATTAACTCATTTCTTGTTTTATAATTATTGTATCGTGTTATTTTAAAACTTTATCTTTGTAAATAAATTATATTCATTTTGCATGCAGTAATTTATCTAAGGTTTTTATCGATTATTATTTAATATCCCTTCCTGCTTTTACAAATAATTCTTCTAAAATTACAGTGGCACCAACTCTAATACATCATATTTGAAAGTGACTATATATTAGAATTAAATTTATTTTTTATATTACCGAACAATTGGATATATTCTACATAAATGTGGTTTGATTTTACATCATCATCATTATCGTAATCATATTGATGGAATATATGAATAACTATTTGTTTATGTCAATAATTTGTTAAGAAGTAAAAGATTTAACATAAGAAAAAAATGATATCATAAAAACCAGCAGTCGGTCAAGCAGATTATTTCTTTCTATATTTTTGGTGACCCACTCTATAAGCTAGCTAAACTATTCCAATTATTTTCTTATATATTTAAAATATATAAATTT